TTCTGAATGGCCTTTCCCATGACGGACTGGAACCCCTGGAAGTGGATGTCGCCGTCGGTGGTGGGCTCCATGTCGTGGATCATTTTGGTCAGGCTGGCCCGCCGCACCTTGAAGCCCAGCGACCCGAAAGCCTTCTTCAGCTCGTCCACGGAAATGCCCCCTGTCCGTGTGACGCAACGCCGTCACGGATTCCGTGTAACGGCGTCAGCATCGCTACGGATAGTTACATCGATATATCGGTACATCGGTACATCGGTACATCCAGGCTTGCTATTCACAGCGTAAACGCACCGTGTATTTACGGTTCTCACGTTAAAACGCGTAAAATATGCAAGCACGGGTTGTGCTCACGCTGTAAACAACACGCGTGGATACATCGATACACCGATACATCGATACACCGATACATCGGTATATCCATAAATCTACAAACCGATAAATCGGTGAGTCGATAAGTCTGTAAGACGACAAATCGGTGCTTCGATAATCGATACATCGCTACGAATGTGCCACGTCCATGGCCATTTGCGTTTTCAGTATCTGGGATGCGGCAAAGCGAATGGCGTTCTACTCTATCCCGCAAAACTAACAACACTGAGTAAAGCATTGTCAGTACATTGACGCTGCGCGTGCCAATGGTACGTGATGGTCATACGTATGGCCGTATACGGTATGCCCCCGTGCGAATATGCAAGGTGCATTTTGATGTAATTGTAGTGAATGGCTTCAAAAATAGTGCACGTGCCGCCCGAGGGGTGTGCGACGGCAACTGCGAAAATTATCTATATTCTTGTGAGAATCATGAGAATACCGTATCCTTAAAATCTAATGATTACCGTATTCTTATCTGAAATCATTGATTGCGGAGGATTTTTATGCGTTATGATCATGAATCGAGCGACGTGTCCGGGAATGGTCTAGCAACCCATGGAAACATCGGTGAGGTCCCTGCATCAGTTCGGCAAAGCCGTCTCAATATCGGCCTACCACATCCTGTTGCTGCGACCTGCGCATTCAAGTGCACTCCAGCCGCTTCGAACAGCAGTGTTGCTTGAGAGTTCCACCGTGCAGAAGTGCCGCGTTGAGGTTCAATGGCCCTCTTCGCAAAGCCCTGGCGCAAGCCCCAGCATCTTGCCGTGCGCGCGTTTTGTTCGTTGCCTACCTGATCCATCTGCGTCTAAAGTATCGAAGCATTCCTTGATTTCCTGCTTCTGATGTTTCGTAAGCTCCCTCGGAGGCACCACCGCGCCGTGCTTTTTCAGCCACTCTGCTGTTTCCGCTCGCACGACCTCCAGCTGCGGCTTTCGCCACCTTCTGCCCTGGGGTGTAGCAAGCACGGGAAGGTTTCGCCGTTGCCATGTTCAAGAGATTTTTATTTTGTCGAGTTAACGATACACATTTATCACAGGATGTAATTATTGTACTACGGAAAAATTCGCATCGTATGCTAAATGGCTGCAGTTAACTCGAAAAATACAGATGCAAACGCCACAACCCGCTGTTGTAATTGCCATTCGTTCATGTGACCAATCGACACTTGCCATGGTATGAAAATCTCGCCAAGGGGGACTACGAACTTAGTGTTGTGGTTCGGCCCTGCTCAATCTACCCAAGCTATTGGATATCCCAATCCACTGGGTTACGTAATCCAGGAACCGATTAATCCAGACACGCCCATCAACGGCGGTTCTCCCTTGGCGCAAGGCCACGTTCTATTACACCCATTAAATATATCCACATACTTAGATCTTAATATTTTTGCAAGTAAGCACTGTGAAGGACTGACCCTTTACCCTTCATTCCTAAAAGATCTTTTCGTGAGGCCCCCTAGATGTCTTCTATGAGAAGGGTGACGCCCGCGGCGGCGAGCAACCAATGCGCGGGAACATCTCGCGCCACATGCCCGGCTTCTAAATTCAAGTCTGTGGGACACGGATTCAAAATTCAAATCGACCGGACACAGATTCAAAATTCAAATTCACGAACGCCCGCCCGGGATGACAAAGCTCCGCATCCCGCCGGCCAATTTCCCCAGCGCGACGATTCGGCTTCCACTGGGGGGCCCTGGGCTGGGCCTCGAGGCCGCGTGGAATTCGCCGTGACGCGCGCGCAGAGGCAAAGGCAAACAGGAGGCCTCGCGACTCTCCCCGAGAGAGGAGAGCCAGACGCGAAGTTCCGAAAGGTCCCGGAGAGTTCCGAAAGTCAACGGCTCGAAGTCAACCCCCGCGGCCTTCCGCGTGCGCTGCAGATCAGAACTGACCCACAGGTCAGACCTTTCCGAAAACAGCCCAGTTTCCCCTCGGGACTTTCGCCAGGAGAGTTCCGGAGCTGGGGAACCCCGGCGCGGTTTCGGCCCGACATGGTGTCGTGTCTACGGGCCGCGCGTGTCGGGGCAACGCCGGAAGCGCGGAGGGGTGGCGGCCGCCGTCCCAATTGGCAACTTACGCGATCCATGTTCCGCCCCGGTGGGAAGCTGCCTTGCACCTGAGCGGTGGGGTGGGTCTGGCGCTGGCCTTCTTCGCTGCGGTCGCTGATCGCTGATGGCAGTGGTGGGGCTGTGGTAGGAGCGGAGAGGATGTTGACGCTCGTGATCTTGTTCCAAGGTATGTGAAAGCTTCCTAGCCTGCCTTCTTTGCGGTGTTGATGGATTGTTCCAGGGACCAGCCGATCGATTCAAGCGCATGGGGAAGGGGATGGCCCGCGGAGCGTCCCTACTGGGCTGTCTGTGTAGATGCGTCCAAGGCGACGACAGAGGGAAATTGTTGATTTGTTGGTACTTGCGATGCGATGCATGCGATTTGTCGATATTTGTTGCATACGATAGCCGGGAGGCAGTCGCCGGTTTGTATGTACATCGACATGTCGTGCTGGAAAATGCAACGGCGCTGACTTGCTCAGTGGAAATTCTGGGAAACGCGACGTTTGCCTGCGCTGTTTGCAAACATCGCGGTACGATGCATCGATGGAAGATTGGTCGTCATGACGTAGAAACTTAGTCAAAAGGGAGCAGTGAATTGGGACACGAGTTGCCAATGCTCTCAGATACAATACGGCCTCTGCGTGGACTGCGCATCGGCCTCGCCGAATATTACTTTTGGATTCTCGTGTGCCGCAAAGATGACGTGCGCCCCGTACCTGCATACGTGGAGCGTGTGAACCAGCGCAATAAGTAAACCCAAATTTGACTAAACTCTCTAGTTATGTGAGCTGCTTTTATTTTGAAAAGAAAAGAAATTCTTTCATCTAATTTTTTGCGGAATAATTGGGTCTATGCGAGAAGGTGAATAGGAGCTTCTGAAATAAACACTTCAACATGGCGTGCTGCAACATTCGCATGCGGTGGCCTACAGATGTTCAGAAATTGCCCGGGCCACACGACATCATTTCTGCTTTATTTCGATGCTTGAAGAAACGAGCCTCGGCGTATTCGAAACGTCTGTGCGAAGGACTTCTCAGTAAACTGGAGCAGCAAAACGTCTGCCTGCAAGTGCAGACATGCTTTCTTTCCAGTCACTTGCGTGCGTCTCCATAAGTTTGATATGTCAAATAGGTTCCAAAGATCGCCGAGGCTTTGGCAAGGATACTACGACAAGGCGTAAGCTTCGTGCCTTCATTTCCAACACAGATGTTAAGTTCAATAAACACAAAAAAATGATGCCGAATCAACACTATAGTACTGTTTGAATGTGTGAAACAACCGCTGAACCGAATAATCAAGCAGAACTGAGCACTCGGCGAGCTCCGATGTCTGTGAGGGCTTTCAAGGACCACTGGTGAAATATATCCATATATCCATGAATACATGTTCATGTATCCATGTATCCATATATCCATGTGTCCATATATCCATACATCCATGAAATATTTTCATTCGGTGTAGCATCTAAAAGTGCATTCGTTCCAACTGTGGTATGCTAGCTGAAATGTAAAGAAGTTGAGGATGTGTCAAAATGGGACCAAACAGTGTGTTAATGCTACCTTTCGACAGTGGGCAAGGGGCCGCAGGGCAGAGCGACAGCTACACGCCTGCTTGACGCCCTTTTAAATGGATGTGCTATCAATCAGTGGCATAACACTTGCATTACAGCACCAACGTTAACATGATTGTCTGTTGCTGCTTTACATGCAGTACTCTGAAGCAGGCAATGGCAACTCATCCAATGTCCACCACGCCACAGCGAAATGGAGTCGCAGTTGCTGCTTTGTTAAAAATGCCAACTGCGGAGCCAAATTCACTCCACACGCGCTCTGTACAGGCCCGAGCTGAGCGGCACAGTGTTGTGCACTGACCTCCGCCATAATTCATATGGGGGTGTGCGTTCAGCTTTCTGTGCCACACCCCGGCTTGGCAAATTGTAGTGGTGTTGTATTCGGCTCAGCAGGTGCGTCAAATGACCTTGGGCGCTCAAAATGAAGTCCTTTGCAGTACTCTTTATAGCGTGGGCTTGTGCCAGATTGCTCAGTTGGGGCAAAATGCACTGCACTAAAGTATTGCTGCCTTGTGCTGACGGAATTATGTACTGCTAGTGTCGGCATTGAGGATTCAGCACAATACTTTGTGAAAGTTGTGCAGATGTGGTTGTGCCTTGAGGGCCTCAAACCCAGACTCCCTGTCTTTCCCATGCCCCACCGAGCTGAACATACTTGGCACACAGTCCATGTGGCGCTCAAGCAACAGCACAAACAGTAGCCATAGGCAAAAATTCTTCTCGTGGCACGCACATTGCCATCCTGTGTTGAATTGCAAACGAATTTGCATCCAAGTGGGTACCGTGCCCGTCGCAGCAAAAATGTCATGACCAGCTTATGCCAGCCAACATGAACAAAGAGAACAGTATGCAGACCTGGCAAACATTAAAATGCTTTGTTCACCTATTGCCACCCTTCTGGTCAATGTTCACATGAGAGCGTTTGCACATTGCCTCATGGTAGTCAAAACACTTCCCTGTTGGTTCTGTTTGGATCCACAACCGCCACCAGCTTCGGGAGGCACCTGTTGTTCAGTGCGGAAACAAGGGTCTCCAAACAGCTGCCAGAAGTTGGCCTGAGGGCAAGATGCCCTTCGCCAATCTGGGAGGGCCCCCAAACAGGCTGCCCATGCTCCTGGTCCTGGACCCCTGGGACTTGAAGATTTCATGCGCAGCAACAAACATCCGCCTGGGGGAGCTTGATAACTGCTGCTGCACCTCTTCTATGTTGGAGAAGGTAGAAGGCCACGTACCTCTCTTCAATCCCTCTGCATCAGTCATTCCCAGGTGCCACTTGGCCCCAAAACTCCAGGTGCAAATCCTCCCCTTAGCGTTCTTCTTGGGAAAACTCACTGCCTGTCCAACCCCCTGGCGACTCCACCCCAAGCCAAACCACTCGTCGCTGACCCCATTTTCTGGCACCTGTCCATCCCCTCCAATACATCTGCCCCCCTCACCTTGCGTGACCTCCCCATGCATGACCTCCCCAAGTCCAAGGGCCTTGTTTCGCCATGCGTTCTCTCCCAATGCAACCAACACAATTCACACATCCCCATCCCTCTCTGCCTTCTTTCTTTTGCTTGGGGATCCCTCCAAATCTCCCTGAAGGTGGGGCACAAGAGGGCACATGCCTCATCATCCTGTCTTGCAACAAAAATCTTTCCCTTCCCATTTTCCCTACTCCGCTCACTTCTTGTCGATGAACTCCCCTGAGGGCGGCCCCGCCGCGTTGGGCGTCCGCCCCACGTTGGAATCGTCATACTCCCCCATCATCGGCATCCCAGCCTTGTTCCACCCAAACAACCCCCCATCCAGGTGTGCCACCTTCCCCACCTCCCCCCCCTCCATCAAGATCCATGCCGCCTTCAGCGATCTCGACGACTTCCCCCTCATAAAATTGGTGGTGGGCAGCATGGTGCCCCCGGCCTCGCAATACAGAATCGCCCCCTTCTTCCCACCGTCGCAGGCAGCTTTAGCCTGGGCCACAAACCCTGGATTCAACTCCACCGGCGCTACTCCATTAACCATCAATGCCGCTGCCTTCAACAAGCCCATTGGTTTAACGTTCCCCCAATCCATAGATTGAAACAGCGGGGCAGAAACAGCCCCTTGAGCGTGCCCTTTTTCGAAGTCCTCGACAGGCCTCACATCGATCAGCACCCATTCGCCTGAATCTGCCGACGCCTTTGCATTTTCAGGCGACAATGATTTGAGCTCCTTGTCCATCAGCAGCTCCCACATGACTTCCCAGATCGGCAGCGGCGCGTTTTCGGTCGCGCGAGGCGCCACGCGCCGGCTGGCTTGCGCATGGGATGGCGATCGGCACGGCTGGCGGCATGTGGGGTGCGATTGGCCGATCGGTCGACGGGGGGCGGGGGCGGGGAGGGGGGCCGCCCGATTGAGGCGGGTCAGGGAGGAGGAGGCCATGGCGGGCGGGGGGTGGGGAGGAGCCGGCGTGTGGCGCTGGGCGGGCGAGGCGAAGAGGAGGGAGTTGGGCCTCTTGTGTGGGAGGGGAGGTCGAACGGGCGTTGTGACATTAATGCGGAATAATGGGGAAAATGAAAGGTAATGAATGAGCTGGTGCAGTAGGGGGTCCCTACCCCCCCGGGTGACATGGCCAAGAGGGGGGCGCTATTGAGGGCCGGGGGCGCTATATCGTAGAGGGGGGTTCCTTAAGCAGCCGCTGTAAAGGGTTGCCCTGGCCGCCGGTGTAGGGAGTAGCCTAAGCTGCCGGTGTAGGGGGTACCATACCCGCCAGTGTAGAGGTGTACCACAGCCGTCGGTGTAGAGGGCACCCCAGCGCCGGTGTAGAGGGTACCCTACCGGCCGGTGTAGGGGTTACGCTAGCTGACGGTGTAGGAGTTTAAGCTAGCCACCGGTGTAGGAGTACCCTGGCTGTCGGTATAGGGGGTACCCAGACCGCCAGTGTAGGGGGCGCTTTGGACGCCAGTGTAGGGGGTATCTTGGCCACCGGTGTAGGGGGTGCAAGTCCCGTTGTTCAACAAAGTTGCGTAAAATACTACAGAAATGGTGACAAGCCAAAAAATGGGGCCTCTATTGGGGGTTGGGGGCGTTATATAGGGAACCTTACCATATTCGGAAAAAGCTTTTTCCCCTTACCCTTAGGGTGGGAGGGGAGAAGTTGTGACAATGTGATACATTGTTGTCACAACTTTCCCCCTCGTCCTCCATTGAATATGTTGAATGCATCCAGGAAAATTGTAACTCATGAGTATAGTTTTGGTTATTTGGTGTGGGTTTTGGTTGTTGTGTAGACGATGCACCAGCCGGGGCGCCCAATGAGGCCTGTGGGGCCTCCTCCACTAGATCCCGGACTGGTTTTGCCGGGGCACTCGTTTCTTCAGATTTGTAGCATGGATCTAGTTGCAGGGATGACCAAGCGCAAGACAGCTGTGTATACAATGGGTGCGCAGCACCATGCAGCCTACAAGTGCAACTAGGGCAACTGCTAGGTGTGAGTGGGTCAAGAGAACGATTCACAATTAAACTGCGGATGGCCACCTTTTTGGGGGTGGCCACCGCCCAGATCATGTGACAATGTTCGGTCCTATGATAGTATCTCATTCCCCAATACAGTGTGGTAGAGGGGAGTCTTAAGTACTAGAAATGCATCTGACCGTAACTTCTCTACCAACAATTCAATGAAGGTGGTTCAAAAACTTATAAGCTCCTAATGAAGCCTGTTATTCTACGAGATTGTACAATCATAGTGCTTTGCACTTAAACCTCCCAAATATCCAATTGACAGAGAAATTAATTATCCCTTGTGATTTACACCACATGATGTGTGCGTAATGCAGCTTTGAACGTATAAATGACCCTTGCATCAATAGCTCAAGTTCGCAAGGTGGGGTTTCCCAAGTAATTTGTTTCTTTCCTTGACACAAATCAGTTTCTCAGTAAAGAAAGAGGAACAAGGAAAATGTTGACATAGTTTGATTGTTAATCCAACAGAAAAGAAGATGAAATATTGGTATTTGGGAAGCCCATAAGTACTAATGGCAAAATCAAAGATTTCACGTGGTGCAAAGGTGATTCATTTGAGAAGGTGTGCTGAAAACTGCTGGGAATTATTTTTGTGCTCGGGGCACTATATTAGCGGGAAGAGCAAATGCAAGTACTTCCTAAAGTCATGCACCAAAACTCCATCATTGCGAAGCTTAGGGCGTTGCCTAGGATCGCTGTCAATGCTTCAACTTTTTTGCGTTTGGGCAACATCTGCAGCCCGTCTTGACACTTGCAATGCGAAGCTTGTTATTTTGAGTTCCACCAGCATCGGCACGGCGCTGATTCCTAGTGGTTCCCAGCTGTGGGCGCAACGCGATAGGGCGGCATGAGCGACAGTGCCAGCGTGAAGCGCGGTGCAAGGGGGAATGGCCGTATGAAGAAAAGGAACATCCGCTTGTGGGCGCGTCCTTTGAAAGAGCCATGTCCAAGGATTCTCAATGGGTGCCTAAAAGGTTTGCGTTGCAGCATAACTGTCTTGGTCCATGTCTGTGAAAGCGCAGATTACGGAGCACCGTGTTGTGGGTGTTGTGACTCCACATGTCAATGAGGGGCTTGCTGCAGGCCACCATCTGTCCGTCATGAGTTTCTTTGTTCAGTTCATGCTAGTAGCATTCAATAGATGTCTGAACTGTTGAGTTACTGAAACGACAGATCGAACCTCAGCAATGTTTGGCTCTTCTTGCTGACTCAGAGTAGCATTCTTCGCCCACTGGTGATTGGTATGAGGGTCGGCTGAGCAAAAGGATATCAGTTCAATTTGGGGTGTCACTGGCGGGTGTCTAAGCAAGGGGTGTGCCAACTATTATCGCAATTGGTAAATTTTCAGCCAGCATATTGTTCTTATATCAAGCAGCGCAATCCCAAAGTCGTACTGAGTTGCTCTGAAGCATACCATTGGTGACTAAGTGTAGTACAAACGTATTTCCTGATGAGAATCTTGTACCTACATACTATTGGCAAATGACACACGATCGTGTCTGACATGCCATATGTCTGACACGCTGATACTGAAACAAAACAAGCCGTATGGAGAACACTGGCCAAGAAGGCTTTCCTGCAAACTACGGATTAACATGCGCAGAGACAATCGGCGGGTGCTACCTATTAATATCGCTCAACTGAGAAGTCCAAAATGAGTGCATCTGAGTCTCAGCCATGTGCCCACATGTCTCCGCACAGTCACAGCAGCTCTTCTAGCGCTTCTCTTTGATCGTCACTACATTCAACCAAAACACTGCCACATATTTTGTCACGCGGAGTCTGTTCATCAATGCTATTTGTTGCCAGTTTGTCTGCTCCTAAACTCAACAGCAATTCTGCAACTTCCACACTCCCGTACAGCGCCGCTTCGTGCAGAGGGGTGTCTTCCTGCTCATCCCTGGCGTCAACGTCAGCTCCCAAGTCGACAAGCTTGGCAGCCACTTTTTCAGCGTTCTGAACGGCTGCTCTGTGCAGTGGCGCCCACCCGCCATTGCACCTTGCATCCAAGTCCGCTTCCTCTTCCACCAACGTGGCAGCCACCACAGAGTTGTCATTCAAAGACGTTCCATGAAGCGCCGTGCATTCGCCAGCGAAATCAACTGTGCCGGATGCAAACTCGCCAAGACAGCACGACATGAGGGCGTTTGGGTCCGCCCCCATGGAGAGCAGGTCGGCCGCCAGTTCTTTCGATTCAGAATCTTCAGGTGTTCCAGCAAGCAAGACAAGTTCCTGAGGAACCAGCAGAGCTTTCGCAAGCTTTTCTCTTGCCATCAATCACTCAACATCAACGCCGCATCCAGACGCTGGACCAGGCCGCTTCGAACGGCCGGTTGCCTCGAAGTTGATGTTTTGCAAATCCCAGGGGCAGCGTGCATCAGCACCAGTACTCCATCAGCAGATATCGTTTGCGTGATGCAAGGGATACAATGCGACTTATGCAAACTTCATACTTGGATATGCAATGCAAATGAAGAGCCTCCTTCTACAACAACAACAACCACAACACATGGCGAACCTTCTGCTGCTTTTGTGTCCAATTCGCAGACCAGCTTATATTAGCATGCACCGGCATATAGTTGCATGCACTCGCATAAACTAGCATATACTTGCAGCGTATGCGCCTGGGCGCATAGGAGTGTTGAAATTGCATCCCATCGTTTATCAGTGACCAAGGTCTCTTGGCCCGCAAATCTTACCATGTTGAGCTTCTCGAGGTCTTCTGCTGAAGACCTGGGTTCCTGGACACAGTTGCAGCAGCAGGCTGTCAGACAAGGGCACGCAAGGCAAATGTGGTGCTGGTTCCAACCGTACATGGACTGGACGGACGACAAAACTGCTGTGCGGGATTTTCGCTTCAACCTCAACTGGTTGCTGTTCCACTTACTGCGAAAGCGTGGGCTCAACAAAAAGTTTGACACAATGCTTCTGTGTTCGTAACTGTAAGCAAAAAGGACAGGCTGTATGCTTGTAACACTAGTAAACGTAATGTAAATGAGCACACATTATCCGCTGAAACACGCAAACTGGTGGCACATTTTTTGTGGCGTCTTCACAACGTTTGTTAACTTGTTTTCATGCCGTGTGTTTCAGCTACCAGCACAGCTGCTCATCCCAAAGCATCTGTGCATAGTGGAGTGTGCTGTGCGCCCTCCACCATCAAACTGTCGGCAGGGCCTTGACAAATGCCCATGACGAACCAGTGTTTCTACAACGTGCACCAAATGCAATCATGAGAATCCTCACAATTTGCATTGATGCAAAGAGAACCTTCATACACGAACATTCAGAACAGCGCACAGGCGGATCTAGGAGACTTGACACCATCGTTGTGCATCACCATAGAATAACAATATTTGCAACGAAATCTCTGGGGCTAAAGGGCGTGACTACATGAAAAGTACCGACTTGAAGTGGACAGATTTGCAATCCTGCAGTGAGGTCCCCACCTCGGTGCCTTGTGCAGGTGCAGATTCCTGTGGGCAGAAAACAGCAATCCACAATGCTGTTGACAATCCACATTGATCCGGTCGTTTGCATCGTGCACTTGCTTGCACGCTGCAGGTCAGCATACTGGCAGATTCTAATTCATCAAGTGATTTCGCTACTTGCAATTGACTTCACTCGGCTAAGTGTTGCTATGCTGTTTAACTTCAGATACAAAGCCCAATGACGTGCTGGAGCAGGTGTTGCAACCCTTGTTGAAGGGCTGCTGAAATTCGCAGCAACAATGCAGCAGAAGCCCACTGGCCACATTGCCCAGGCAGCTGCTGTTGTTGGCCCAGGAATTTGTACTGGGCCAATGAACTGCAACGCCTATACATAAACTACCAAATAACGAATACACGTAAATATTGAGACAATACTGCATTCGCCACAACGGGTGTTTTGGCCCTCCTTCACAAATGCCCACAGGACATCCTGGCATTGTGATGCACAAATGTATGCTACCCCTTTCCAAGCAAGCAACTTGGCAAAATTGGCAAACTTCCTAGGGCGCATAATCTGTGGTAGCAATGTGCTCTGCAGTGTGGACTGATCATGTGCACATGGCCATGCTGATGCAAAATGACCATTTGCGGCCACAAAAACACGATGACGCCCTGTTGAAATGAAAGCATATGCTTTGCTCATGACAAGTTTTTTTCTGGCACAGACAAATGCCTCAGAGAAATATTATGAAAAATGCGACTCCTTGCAAACGAAGTATGATGTACCTTCCTGTGTCCGACCCGTTCTGCAAGGCACAACCTGAATGGAATCAAGCAGATTGCGGGGCACTGACGATGAATAACTAGAACCAAGTCTGAAACGCCCACTTTTGCCCTTGCCAACACGTCGCAATTCTAACAACGCACAGCAATGCTAGCACGCAACAAAAAGCAATAATGACATTCACCAGTATGAAAGGGCTTGCAGTGGTGAAAAAGCCAAGAAAACCTTGGATGGCTGTGTTTCATTCCCCACCTTCATCATTTCTTCAATCCAGCCACGAAAGCTGCTCAGCTTTGTAAACACAGTTGGTATCTCTGCAAGTTCGCATGTGTCTCCCATTAAACCAAACGATGTGAGGCCAACAACAATGTCGAAATCAGCGTTGCCAGCAGATAGGTTCCCATCAGGTGCGAAGGGTTCGACTAGAGGTCCCCCACTGTCCCCTGGAAAAGAGCATACACATGCTCTTGAAACCCAGACAAGAGTAAATAAACAGTATTACAGCCGTGTGATGCCGAGCATGCTGTTCATTTCCTCAGTTTCAGGTGAATGAGCGGCTATCTGTTGAAAGTGCAATCATTGACAGATGGAAAGAAAACAACAAAAATAATGCCCCAAGCTCAGACTTGTGGCATTCAGCACAAAAAAACAGATTTCTGGCCTTAGCACGACCATCAGGTTCTTGTCCTGTTAATACATGGAACAGTGCCAATGGCTTGTGCAACAGTGTTTATGGTCAAGATAAAACCACAATCCGCAGCCAGGTGCAATGCATTCCAGGTAAGAGATCTTGGTCTATGTTCCCTTGCAGCACAAGTGCTGTGACAAGTCCTTTGCAGCTGGTGAACTACAAAGCAGCAGAATTCATTGCATCAGCACTCCTTAGTTATGTTGGACATTGGAGATACAGTATCTGATCAGATCTCAGCTAAGCTGATACGATCACCCTATGATGCAAGTACACATTCGCACCAGCAACATCAAATCAGCATTCCCATTAGAATTTGCAATACTGATGACAACAAAATACATCTATCCTGAGTTGATATTATCCATATTCCTGCCAAGCAATATACACTTAAGTACAGCACACAGCATGCAGTGCATCAACACGCTTGAGTACTGATTCACCGTCATATTGCACACAAGTGTGCGCAGGGCACATGTACATTAGTGTGACGTGCACCATTATACAGTGAACAAACTGAACCGCCACCTACTGCCCGGCATCGCCAGCTTGGTGACAGGACTTGCTTTGCCATGATTCCGGCAAAGTAATTGCAACGGATTTAAAAAAAAACTGCCACCAAGAGAAGAGAGAGTAAAGTGCTGGCAGTGTATTCATGCTCAGCAATGTGCTGGTAGTGTACTGGTAGTGTACTGGCAACGTACTAGTAGTGTACCGGTAGTGTATTCATGCTCGGCAATGTGCTGGTAGTGTACTGGTAGTGTACTGGTAGTGTACTGGTAGTGTACTGGTAGTGTACTGGTAGTGTACTGGTAGTGTACTGGTAGTGTACTGGTAGTGTACTGGTAGTGCATTTGTACATATAATCCACAGACAACATACCAGTGCACAGATTCTGCCCCATAAGGCCAAACGCACACAGCATCGAATCTTTGACATCAACATCAATGCCTGCATCTCTCCAGCCGTTCATGCATTCCTCATTGGTGACAAAATCCAGACCAGCGGCTAGCTGCAGGTCTGCAACCGTCCCGTTTCCCCACCCCAGGGCAACGAAAGAATCTGGTCTGCTAAGCGACTGCGCTTCTGGTGGCAAGCCAGCTGGGGTCAGACCAGACTTCCTGTTGAGCCTCAGCAGTGCAATATCGTTGCCCAATTCCACTTTGTTGGCAGTGTACCCTTCATGGATGATTGTTTTCCGTGACAGCCTGTTCTGTGGACAGCAATCGACAAACAAATGCCAAAAATTGTCCCATGGAAGAGCCCTGTCTTATTTCAGAGTACAGAGTGGGCAACTTATTGGTGGAAAGAGCAGCAAAGGCACAGATGAGAATTCAGTTTGCTGCACACTGTCAATGCAGCAAACGGTATTTTCTACACTCTTCAACAAATGTATGTGAAAATAATGCTGTAAAATGGCTGACTATTTACAAGTGTTGTGCACACCAAACCCACTTGTACATCTGCCCATATTCCGATTGTGCTGTCTTATACCCAAGGGGTCAAATTACAGATACAGACATCCACAACGTTTAATAGTTTTCACAACATAAGCATTCAAAGTTATATTGGCTGAAGGATGTATGTACACTGCAGCCCAAGAGCACCACTGATAGTTTCGTACTGCAGTACAAAATGGCGTCAAAGCATCAGCGAGAATTTCTACTGGGCAATATGCGGCAGTGTGCAAAACTGCAGAATGGGCCATCAGTGACATATGTCATAACTTAACAGACAGAATAGAGCCTGCTGCTGCAAGACAACTGAATCAAATCCATCCGCTTCATATGCCTCCACCAAAGAAGAGAAACAGAAAAAAAAACGACTGGAACTCCCTAAATACCAGCAACACACATCCCCTGAAAGAATAGCAGATATAAGCCACCTGCACAAGGGGGGGTGTTGATCCTGGATTTACCTCGACATTGCTGTTGTCCTTTAGATTGCAAGCGCCGATAACAATCCTGGGTGCTTCCTTCAGTGAAAAAAGTTCATTGGGATGCACACAATGTGCAGCTGTCAATATCCATTCAGGATCCACCAGCACTCCGCCACACTGGTGTTTTCCCTGGTTGTTACGCAATGACGCCATGTATGGAAAACGTCCACATTTTGCAGGACTACCTCCCTGTCCATTGCATTGTGTCTCATCAGTCTAACAATGACAACTGTACAGCGGCAAGTTCCCCCCACCATAAGTGCAGTCAAGAGCTCTGACAACTGTCTGAATTGCTTGAAGGGGCAGGCTCTGGCATGTTACTTCAACTGTGTATGTTTATGCCTGAATGAACACTTTGCACCCTTTCCCTCTTCGCAGCACCAAATGAGGCACTGTAGACAAGGGGCAGAGGCAAACATATTGCATGCACCACAGACAAACTGCCGCCAGTGTGTCTTTCTGAATGTGGAAAGACTGATCACTGAATTTTCGATCACAGTGGGCTGCAGCAGGCTGTCCATTGATGCAGACATGACAGAAGAAGTGCATGAACATGTGTGCACTGGGATTACATGTCCTGAAACCAGAGAATTGGCAATGTTGTGGCTTACAGTCACTTCCAGGCCCACTTCAACGATATGAACAATTCAATCAGACTCCACAGACTTTGTAATTCAGGTGCACATCTATAAGCAGCCCTAGGCAAGCATCACACAAACAGGAATGCGACAAGCTATCAGCTATCTGTCCCTGACAAGTATCCATTTGCAACTGTCTATCAGCCATGTGCATACAGCCATCTGGTCTGCATGGGCTGCCATATGGGCATTGCAGGCATGCTTACATGCACTGCTCGTAATAATTTCAGGCAACGATTTTAGTACGAAACAGTGAGGCCCAGATGCTTGCACACAAGACCCAAACTGCACAACCCACCACTATGAGCTTCTGTATCCCTGGCTCACGACTCTGTGTAAGGGTCCTTGAGCGCCAGTCAGATCCATCAAAAAATTTGCTGGCTACACACAAAAAGCAAAAATGTTAGACAGAGGCGACAGTCCAGTACCAACAACATCAGAGATCGGGTTACACAACTGCTGGCACGATTCCTGGTGACCTCTGGCCTCTGGCGCCACAATGAAGAAAACCTCTGATATGCTGCGACCCACATATTGTACCATATGCAGTTTTCTCAATTAGCTGATCCTGTGTTGCAAGTGTACACTAGTTGCACCGCAAAGAACACGAATCCTTCCCAAACAGACCATAGAAACACTTCCAGTGGCTACATATTCACTGGTGAACAATCATCGTTGGATATGTCCAGATCAAAAGCATCACAATTTCCCAGTGCCCCATGACTAGAATACTGCCTTTTAGTCCACAGTGCAGCACAACACCCCCTGACATATGGATGTGAGCCTGTCTAGTTGACTTGCAGAGGAGTCAGTCGGCTCAGTCACTGTTGCAAGCCACTTGGACCAGAGTGTTGGAGCTCCAACTGGCAGTTCATTCACTGCATTCAATGCGTCACGACCGCAATGGCCACGGCCCCAAACATAAATTATCGAGCAGTGGCCTATCCTCTGCCCCTGCTCTTCTTCCAATGCAACGACTGCACTGCCATGACGAGTGCAAGGAAAGCAGTGCCAGCAAAGTAGGCATTTTCAATGCAAAGATTGCGTACCGGTGCGCACCAGTTTGCCTGTTGATGCTACAAGAAAGCAGAAGTCGTTCTTCACACGGTTGCGAGCCCAAAGCCCCCCGTCCGGCTGCCTCTCACCTTCAGGTTGCGTGCGGGTCACCGCGGAGAGGGTCGACAGCGCGAGCCACGCCAGGGTGGCCAGACTCCGGGGAATCACGCCGCGGTGCATGCTCGCCGATCGGTGAGGCAGAGCGGTGGAACTCGCCGGCGATCGGCAATCGCTTGGGGTGGCGCGATCGGTGGAGAAATTGAGAAGCGTCGTACGCCGCACCCGAAGAAGATATCTTGAAAGCCTGTGTCCAGCCGCCCCTCAGAAGGTGCCCTGGCGGTGAGGCAGGCGCCTTGGCAGGCACTTGGAGATGCGCGCTGTATGCTACAGTTTGTGCCTTGCGCCCTCGATGCCCTCGGCAACAAGTCGCAGGGTCGCACACGGCGAAGCCCGAATATTGCGGGGCTGCGGTGGATGGCCCAATCACTGGGTGAATCATCATCTTCACACCGGGTGAAGCGGAATTGACGTTAGTGAATGAAGTTAACTCGGGTTTAGGCCGTTGGGTGGGTAAGTTTACGAGGTGTGACGTGCGAAGGTTGCTTTGCCGCCCAAAACCAAATAGGGTTTGGCGGCACACTGTGCGCCACACCTTGCGAGTGGCTGCGCCCACATCCAAGGTCAGTGCCTTTGTGGTACAGTGAGAATCAGACCTGCAGTGGGGTGTCCACCGGCCTGGCAGACTTCAGTGAGAGATCTGGCGGTGCATTGGACTGGTTGGCAGCACGGATACGAAGGTAGGGCGAACGAAGGGTATCTATCCTTTCTTTCGCTCCCACCCACCATAGCCCAAATAATTGTTGCTTGACAATAATGTAATGGAGAGACTTGGCAGACTTGTGAGGGTCTCTCGTGACCCAGGCTCAAAGTCTCTGTTAAGTCTTGGAAATGAGAGTGACGTGTGTGTGTGTGTGTGAGTGGAACGGATCTGACTCATGACTTCGTTCAGGACGCGGGTTGGATTTAGGCCACCCGTAAATTAATCCCCAAAGTTTTACCTGCACAAGCGAGCATCACCGCTGGGAAGAGGGTGCATCTGTCTTCATTTCGTGAACATAGTTGCAGAGCTGGTGGTATTGTGGGCCTCTAGTAGCGGCTCCCTCGGCGGAGACCGGCGTCAATTGGCTGACAACTCAACGCTCCTGTCCCAGGAAGTGCTGCCACAATACTACGTAAGCTGCTGCCAAATGGAGACAATGAGAAACTACCAGCGCGATCCCCGCCAACGCACCTCCTTTGCCATCTAAACTCCTCTGACACTCACCGCTTTTCTGTTTTATCTGCATTCCCCTAGGGCTGATGTCCAGTAGAGGCCTGGGGAAGCGACGAGTAGCCAAGACGGCCCAAAGCCTGACTGCGCTGTACTCGTGGCCTCTGAAAGTCCCTGTCGCGGCGGCCAACCCGTTATGCTGTGGGCGTGCGCATCAACATAGCATCCACACTTCTCGCGGTCTTGGTTGTGCTAGTGGCTTGGACGGCTTGTGTCGCGACCGCCGTCAATCTCAATTGTGGATTGCCCATTTCTACGGGAATCTTTTTGCGCAGCCAGGCACAGTGCATTCTGACGAGGCAACGTTTGTTGTCAAATTTCAGCTTCACTGCATGTGTCAAGACATGAAAAGGCAAAGTGCTGCGAATCCGATAGGCCATGCTGGGCACTGCTCAGAGCTTCAAGGTTTGGCCCCAGTTCATGTCTTGTTCCCGTTTGCTATGAAACAGGGCGTTGCAGGGAACGTTGTTGCCTACCTATGCCACTGTGTGGTGTGGGCTGTGCAGGTTAGACTCTTGGGGAAGTTCACAAGTATTCGAGGCAGCTCTAGCAAATAAACTTGCTGATCGTGGTGCGCACAAAAGCGCAAGACAGCATCACCGAAATTTACCAAGTGCACTGAGCCTGATCAGGCTCAATTCCTCATGAGGAACTGGTATTCTATCGCAATGCGGTGTTGTGAAAGGCAGATGGCTGTGTGCACATTACCTTGATGCGCCCCCGTGAATATCACCATCGCGCATCTCATATATCATCGTTTTGTCAAAGCCTCGGCATTTTTCCCCTTGTCTTGGCTAGTTTTTCGTTTTGGTTGTCTTGGTTTTAGCTGCATCTGAGTACCACAGAGCTGCATGTCTTGACATTCATGTCAATCCATCAGCTGCAGCCAACTTCCCCCGCATGCAGCACCCACAAGCTGTACGTATATGCCTTCATCAGATATGTGTGGATGAATGGCCAGCTGGCAAGCTTTCTATTCTTGAATGCAACGTGCTTGAATCAGCAGACACTCAACCCAGAAGATCAGGCATACAAAGTACTCGCTGGGGAGGGAAGGGATCCTGTCCAAATGTCAGATTGGCAGCAAGGGTGCTCTTGCCTTTGATCAACATGTTTCGGAACAGATCCACTAAATGGCAATTCACTGGATCAATGCAGCCAGTGGTACCCAAGCAACTGAACTGCCGCTTGGCTTACAGAGATCTCCAATGTATTTACCCATCTTGGAGGTCAAAGGATGTTGCATTGGGTGGACAGAATTACAACTTTAGTGAGCATCACATGGCTGGGCTTTCGTGCATTGGGCTGCAATGCAACAGACAGAACGCAGTAGAAATGTTCATCTCACAAGTGTCCAACCATAATATCTATCAATGGCTAGTGCAGTACCTTTTTCTCTAGAATCTTGTTGCCATAAGCTATTTCAGTGGCTTGCCAGCTGTTACGCAAGATTAAGTCTGTAGTGCATGGGCACCATAGAATATCCACAACTTCACACAGTGTGGTGTATGATGTGGGCGAGGGAGGAGGCTGATGCCATCAAGCAGAAATGGTGTATGGTGCTTATTAGCACTCTAATGCCGGTGAATCGGTGGTTGGCACAATGATGTCTTTCATGTTGGTATTCCATTTGGTCCCAAACATCAATGTAGCATGAATCACATCACAACATCCCTATTTCAAATACCAGAGGAGCTGCGCACCCTTGCATTGCCATTTTGAAAGACTGAACATGAGGCACAAGTTTGGATTATCATTTCAAAGCTCAGGCATATAACACGCGCTTGCATTTCCACCTATTGAAGGCCAAAACTATGGTGGACGTTTGCCTTTACGATTGCCACTCAATTTCCATGCCTTTGTGACGCCTTTGCTTTCGCCTTTAGGTTTGCGACACTCGCTTTGCTGTTATGCTGCACTTCACAGATATTTTCTTGTTTTAGTTCTGGGCCATGCGATTTTGTTATTTTGCCTCTGCTACTTACCATTTAGTCACGATTGGTTTGTTGGTTTGTTCTGCAAGCCTCCCATTCGACAGCCTGCTGTTTTCCAGCCCAATCCTTGCAAAGACACCTAGCCAACCCAGTGGCCAGGTGCACGGGTTGCAGGCCCAGGAATGGTGGGTGCCGCGCTGGATTCCCATTTCACTGGAAACTGTAAAAATTTTTCAAGTTGCATTTAAATGCAAACAGATGCCATACGTCAGCGTCGGCGCTTCCACAGCTCAAACGTAGCGCACGCGTCTCATTCCCATTCTGTAAATCCAATCGTTGTGCGCACGTTTGAATTTCCATTTGGGAAACTCAAACATGATGGACACGTTCATTTTCCTGTTTCAGTCCTCAACCCCCTTCCACCGTGGTGAATGTTGGTAATTAATAATTGGCATATCTTTGGTTGGAGGGAGGTTGATACGAAAAGACTATGGGTGTGGGGTTCCTGCCCTCTTTGAGCCGCGGACCCGCCTCGCCGGGCACCTAGGTCCTTACATAGACCTAGGCGGGACCACCCCTCCTACTCCCATATCCATATAAGTATAATGGTTACTAGAGGACAAGGATTATAATACGATCTTGGGCAGGGCGTCCCCCACACCAAGGGCCAGTAGTAGGGCGTCCCCCACATCAGGCCAGTGCGCGTAACATTCGTCCCCCTCAGGGAGGTGGGGCGTCCTCGTCCCAATATGTGGATATGGGAGCAGAAACTTTATGTGTATGTGAATAGAACTGGCTGTGCGATTTGCCACATGCCCAGTTGTGAAACACTACACAGTTAAGGATGAAGAGAAAGAGTGGTTGTTTTTACATGACCTCCCGGTCTTCACAACCCTCATTAAAACTCTTCCTCAGCCACATGGCTGGAATGTTCGACCTCCCGGCCTATGGTCTACGACCCCAAGAATGGGAACCACCAAATGCCCATGCTGGTGTGCGTCGACTCGGTGCGGGACCTCGTCCTCGCCCGCGGCCATGCCCACGCCCAGCTCCACAAGAGGCCGGCACGAGCGGTTCATCAATGTGTAGTCTTTCTCCGTTCAAGATCGCAACGGACATGGCATTCATGTGTCCGAACTGCGTCTTGGCATGGGGAGCGGTGTACCCAGTGTTCTTCTGGGCCCATCTCAGGAGAACCTGTCAAAGCATAGTCACACATGAGCATTTCTCAGTATGTACATCCCGTACTTTCATGCAGTTTGCATTCGCATCATAGGTGTTCTGCCATTTTCAAATGCTTGAACCAATTCCTGTGCATTTGCAACTGACTTTGCTGATTCCCAGCTGTTATGCTCATGTCCATATCCCAGCCATTTGGCAAGGTACTCAACATAGTTTTTGCGTCTCACACGCTTTTTAACCCTTTTGTCAAGGATACGTTCAACCTCATACTCCAGTTCACCTTCGATCTCGATAGGTACTGGGGGTGGCTGTACTCTACCACTTGCCTTGTAAGGCTTGATTTTCGATAAATGAAATACTGGATGTATCCTATGCATGCTTTCCGGGAGTTCTAGTCGATATGCAACAGAACCTATCCGGTCGAGGATGGTGAAGGGCCCAATCCACCTCGGTAATAATTTTCGAGTTCCAAGGTGTTTGAGGGTAATATGTTGTGTCAAAAGGAGGACGTCATCTCCTTTATTAAACGACACATCCCTCCGATGGCGGTCAGCATGCTTCGACTGCCTATCTCGTGCTTTTTCCAAGCATGCCCTGGCCTCTTTCAGCGCTGTCTGGACACGGTGATCAAATCGTGTCACTGCTGGTAATCCCTCCACGAGGGGTGTACCAGACTGCCTCACATAAGGCTGCTGTGCCCTTTCAATGGCCACTGCCAAGCCGCGGGCATTCGG